GAGGGCGGGCATGGGCAGGCCCATCGAAACTGTGAAATCCACCAGGACCTCTTCGTGGGAGCCTTTTGAAACGATATCCGCCCGCCATCCAGGCAGGGACCTCTTGGAAGCGACACTGCCGAGGTCGCTCCAAGCACTCCGCGAGGTCGCAGAGACAAAGGAGGACACCTCTGGGAAGGGCATCTACCCGAGGTGTAGAAAACGATTAGATTCAAGCATGCACCGCCGCTCATCTGTGGAGCTCTGTGCGCGTCCACACGCTTTAAGGTCAGACCTTTGGGTGGGCTACGCAAGCTACGATCGAATTTGAAAGTCGTCGATGCTGATGTTCGCGCGACGTCGACAGCTCGGAAGTGTCCACGACTGACGGTGGGTACCACTGCGACTTGCCATCAACTCAAATTAATCAGCAGAGCAACGCCGCAGTGGTTGCCCTATGTCAATCGCCTGCGGCGCGGCCCGCGGCTGCCGACTAGATCCAAGGCCGCGCGCCATTTGCCATCGCTCGGGCGTGTGCTCTCCGTACTGTGCCTGGTTTCGTGCGTGTTTTCTTCTTCAGGTTACCCAAGGTGCTCCAATGTGGTTCAGATTTTCTGGCGCTGGTCCATCTGGTGCAAGTTTTCACCCCCGATCCGTGCTCCAGTCCTGTGGTCCGAAAGCGCCCCCCCGGGGCCGAAAGTGGCAACAACAACAAAAAAACAAAACAAAAAACTCCCCGAACCCAGAACCCCTAACCTGCCCGCCATTATTGCTGGCTGGAACCTGTGCTAAGCCACCTCAGACCTCCGGACTGCTCCAACGCTGGTCTCGCCTTCTGGTCTACTTAAGGACCACATCCCAGAAATAATTTCGAGCACCCGGAGAAGTATCGAAACAGTGTATGCCCGACACGCTGGCGAAGTGTCGAACGAGTATCGCCTCCCAGGGCCCGACACGTGAAAACCCTGCACTCTAGGCACTCTCCCGGTGCTCGAAATTCTTTCTGGATGTCAAGGCCAGAGCAGGTTGGAACATCATAAGCCTCGCCGAGGAAAGTGCACACGTCAGAGCGATGCCAAGACCATGACAGCTGCCCGACGGGCCTGCCGTCCGACGCGGTCCGTCGCCCGCGGCTTCCGACTCTGAGGCCGGGCGCCATCCCGCTGCCCAAGGAGCCGCGCCTCAGCGACCCGTGGAGCGCGGGCCCCTGCGGACTGCCTACCAGACCACCCCAACCCGACCCGAAGTCCAGGCTCTCGGACTTGGGGGGCATGCGGGTTCCACCTGAGCGACGCTCAAACACGGGTCTTCCGCGAGATGGCACGGCGACCTTACGCGGTGGCTCACGCGGGCAGCCGGCGCGGCACGCTGCGCTGGATGCGAGGGCGCTCACGCGCGACCTTACGCGGGCAGCTTACGCGCGAATGTCAGCGCAGACGACCCCGTTCCTCTGCGTCGCTCACCTGTGCGTTTTCAATATTCCCGGATGCCCCCCCACTGGGAGTGGAGGGCAGTTTGGGGCCTTCGGGTCGGATTGGGGTTGTTTGATGGGCAATGACCTGCCCCCCCTCGCCGACAGCGACCTCCCTGCGTGGCTGGGGCGGGCCTGAGCGGGCGCCTCCTCTAGAGGAAGAAGACACTGCATAACCATAAGTTTTTGGAGCTCCGCGCGGACTTCTCGGATCTGAGCTGAACCCCTGCCCCGCGCGCCGAGCGCGCCAGGTGCGGCGCTGGAGGCGCCGCCAGGGGGCCCCAGCGCAAATCCAATAAATCCGCGCGGACCTCCGAAAATTTTTGGTTGTGCAGTATTTCCGTTCCTCGGTCCTCTCCCGGGCGCGTGGGCCCAGCTGGCTCGCCGCCGAACTGGCTTGGGCCCGCGCTGTCGGGATCCTCTGACAATCGCTCATGGAGCCAGGCGCGCGCCCTGGAGGGCAGTGGGGACTCCGCGGAGACGTCGGAGCCCGACCAGATGTCGCTCGACTGGTCGCGCCTGACCTTGCCACTGGCCAGCTCCATCCCAAGCAGCGGGGGGGCAGCGCAAGCCTTGGCCGCTGGCCGGGCCGATGTGCCGTTGCCTGGGCGATGCTCGGGGAAGGTCTCTCGGCCCGTGACGGGCCTCCTCATGTAGGGCAGGTCTTCGTCGGTCCTAGGGGCAGGGATCTCAGGAAGTCGGATCCCACGAGGCCTGCGGATCAGGTCGGGGCCGCAGGGGCGCCCACGGGCCATCCTGGGAGTCGAGGGCTGCCTCGGTGCGGGTGCCGCGCTGGATGCCTCCGCCCAGGCCAACGCTGGCCTTGGTTGCTGCTCGCTGACGGCGGGGAGACTGTTGCCCACGAGGCTCGCCATCCCTGATAGACCACGAGTGGGGGGATCCTGTAGTGTAGCGCAGGGTGCCCCGCCAAAATGGTTACTCGAGCCAAGACATGCGGTGAAACCTAACCTGAACTGACATGGGGGTGGGCCGAATTGCGGTGAACGGGAGTGGGCCGAGCTGAGACCCTGGGTGGGTAAAGCATGCCGCTCTAACCCTGTCTTCACCTGTTCGGATTGGGGCACGGTCATACTCATGTTCACTCATACTCAGACTCACTGATGCTCAGGATTACTCGCACTCAGACTTCATCTTCAAACTCATCCCCCGCATCCTGAGATTGGGTCATCATTCACCCAAATCCTAAGATAGACTGATTGCTTTGATTCGTGTGACGTCTCCACCTCCTCATATCTCCCGCCTTCTCCCTTCTCCCTCCTCGTACTCTGGCATCCAGTCACGCTCATACTCACCACATTCATACTCCACTCCAGTCGCACTCATGCTGAGACCATTCACACGCAGACTCATCCGCCCTCACACTCAATCGCAGTGAGACTCGCTCTTATAGTATCAGAGCTCGTTCCCGCACAACGCACAAAGAACACATACACTAAGTCGCTGATACCCCTGATCACCAACACGCAGACCCCCTCACTCACTCACTCACTCACTCACTCACTCACTCACTCACTCACTCACTCACTCACTCACTCACTCTCGCACTCTCTGACACACAAAATCATTCACATCCTCATCACACTCGGACTTGCTCACGAGGGTCCAATGCAAATCGCGGTATAGCAGGCGATTGGGCACCCTAAGGGCAAACCGCATGAGACATCCACAGAAAAGCGAGAAGCGACCCGAAATATTCTGGAGTCTCATTGGCGGCCCCATTTGGCTCAGAATGGCTACAGGACTGCTCAAGACGGGACTGGTTGTCCCCAAGATGAGCCCCAGACGGCCCAAGATGGCTCCAAGATGGGGTCAGACGGCTCCAGCAGCCCTGAAGACGCCACAAAAAGGCTCCAAGAGGACCACCAGGAGGCCCCTGGAACAAGAATCCCTGATATCCCTTAGGCTATTGAGCGATGTTCACGCTCTCATGACGGCCTCAGAAAACCCCAAGAAGACCCCAAGAGGGGCCCCAGAGGGAGATCACGAACCGACAGTTCCAGATTTCCACTCCGACGAGCCCCCTGGAGGCCCGAAGGCGGTCACCATAGCCCCCAGGAGGGAGGGCCCCAAGAGGGCCCCAAGAGAGCGCCAAGAGGTCCCCCCAGGAGAGCCCCGAGAGGGCCCCGAGAGGCGTCGAACAGACACCCGGAAGGGCATGACTCATTCGCGCGGGGATGTTCCCTTCCGGGGGGAGCCCGCCGTGCTCCGCTTTGCGGACTCAACATGGCGTTAGGTCGGGCATGCCCCCGTACATGCGGGCTTTCGGCGAAAAAATAAAAAGAGCCAAAAAATACCCAAAATAGTCAAAAAATGATAGGAAAATCGTCCCCATATGAGTTTTGGGCTATTTTTGAATACTCCTCCTGTAAAGGGACGTGCCCAAGTTAAACATGGCGGGTGACCTGTGGGTCCTGGCCGCGTCGGACTCCGAAGAACTTGGCCGAGCAAGGAAGAACGCAAGGCTTGAGACAGGATGGGCAGAAGGAAGTCTTAGGGCGGAGGGCTCCCCGATTCTACCGAAAGTTCGTTGGCGGCCCCGCGTGGCTCAAGATGGCTACAGGACGGCTCGCAAAAGCCCCAGCTGTCCCCAAGATGAACCCCAGACGGCAATAGAAAGGCTCTGGGGAGGGCCCACAGCTCCAAAAGGCCACCCCAGGATGGCTCCAAAAGGATTCCCAAGAGCCCCCGTCCCCCCCACCCCCACCCCACGCGAAAATCAGTGTGCTCCCGAAGGTTGTTGAACGATGTTCGCGTTCTCGCCTTTTCTAGCTGTCAACGGTCCAACGGTCCAAGACGACCCATGCACCGTGGAGCATGCAAGGGGACCACAAGAGAACCCTGAGAGAGCCCCAAGAGGACAGCAAGAGAGCCCCAAGAGGGCCCAAGAGTCCCACCATGGCCCGAGCGTCGCCACGACATGAATAATTCGCGCGCGTGCATTCCCCTCCGGGGGGGCCTTCGGTGTTCCCGCTTTGCGGGCTCAATACCGCGGGCCCCCCTAGCGGGCCCCGGCCATGCTGGGCCCCTGGTAGCGTGGCAAAGTCGATTAAAGCTTGAAGGCTTGAGACGAGATGGGAGACTTGAGCCTCAGGGTGAAATATTATAGGTCGTGCGTCTGCCAAAAATACTTGCGTCGTGTATTTGCATAGTGACTTTTGCAAATTGTATTTGCGCGCTGTATATGCGCAGGGTATTTCGCGTAGCGCACGGACGTATAGTTTTCGTGTGGAGTTAGCGCGGAGCGTTTCCGCGTACTGTCCCTGCGCAATGTTTTCGCGCCACGCGTTTCCATGATCGGCCCACGAACCCAGGAAGGGATTCAGAACTGCGAGGCCAGGGGGCATTTCCCAGCAGGAGGAGGAGGAAGAGGAGGAGAGGAGGAGGAGGAGGAGGAGGAGGAGGAGCAGGAGGAGAAGGAGGAAGAGGAGGAGGAGAAGAAAAAAGGGAAGGAGGAGGAGGAGGAGGAAGGGGAGGAGAAAGAGGAGGAGGAGGAGGAGGAGGAGCAGGAGGAGGAGAAAAAGGAGTGTTTTTTGAGAAACGGCGTCCCCACCAACTGGCGCCGCGCCGGTCGGACGCCCTCGCCGAGAGCGGAGGGCGACGAGGGAACGAGGGAGAAGAGGAGGAAGACGAGGCCAAGGGGAAAACAACGAGAACCCCAAAGCGAAGAGATGACAACGCGGGAGGACAGGACACGAGAAGGGAAGCGACAGAACGAAGAGACAAGACAAAAAGAGACAGAACGGCACGAGAAGAGCGGGCCCGCGGCCTCAGACTCCATCCGGCAGAAAGAGACACAGTACACGACGACCAGCGGGCCACCCAAGAGGCACACAAGGAAGTCGAGCAGGACCACGTACTGGCGTTAACCTCTGGATCGAAAACCACATACCAGCGGTAACCTCTGGATCCTTGTGCACCGCGCCCAAGCTCCTCATCCAGGACCTGCTTCTCTAGCAACATGCCCTCCCACTGCGCGTAGCTCGAAGGGTCGCGGCCCTCGCGTAGATGGCAGGCCTGCACAACAGCTTGCACATCATCAGGAAAGACCACGAGCTGGAACCGAGACTCACCAACCAGAGATGTGATCCGCTCCGCGCGCCCAATATACCCATCTTCCAAAATCGTGGCAAAGCGCCACCTGAAGAGATCAAGTAGCCACCCGCAGTGCTGACACACGTCCCAAATGTCTTGGCCGAAACCGTCCGTAGATATATCATCAGGCCACACGATCTCATGTACCACTCGTACACGTACAATCGCAGCACCTGGCTGCCAAGCAAGCGACCCCAGGTCGCCGAGCGAACGAAACTCACACACTAGTTCACAAAGGATGGTCGACGTCTCTGCGTCCAGCTTCATCATGGCCTCACGCACCGCAGCGAAACAAACCTCTAGAGCACTACGGGGGACACCAGGACAACCCGCTCCATCTTCAGCAGGAAGAACATCACGAGGGACCAAACGATCAGGATCACAAGGCTCAGCGTGACTGCGGCCACCACGGTACTGAAGTACTCCACCAGGGGGGCAACCGTGAAGCACATGATTTGGATATCCACATTGCAACCAGCAGGAATGAAAATACGGGCTTCCTTGCTGGGTCGGAACGGAGGAACCACAGGAAGCCCCAGCGGTGGCCTATCACCTTCAGAAAAGCAGCCAGCAGGGCAGCCACCAAGACCAGAAAGATCCACATCAGCATGACGCCAAATACTGCCTGGACAGTGCTCACCAAGCATGTCAGGTACAGGGGGAAGGACTGAACGACCATCTCCATGGTCATGTAGGTGACCAGTACACTCCAACAGCGCACCATCAGCGTGTCGATGGTAACACTCCCGCCCTCCATGAAGACCGCCGTCAGGACTCTGAACATCGAAACGAAGATGATCAGCAACTAAAAGAAGACGACAACCGTCAGGAAGGTGCTCACAGAGCACACCAGGCACAGGAGGAAAGACTGGACGACCCTCTCCACATTCACGTAGGCGACGAGTAGAATCCAGCAGCGCACCATCAGGAGAATGAACACCGTGACGAGCGCGAGCAGCAGCCAGAGAAACACAAGGCAGGCCCAGCTGTTGATGCCGAGGGGCCTTGTGTAGCGGACCAGCAGGAACAGGACACCATGGGTCGACTGCTCCATCGTGCCACGGGCCTGAGCCACCCTGCCGATGATGCCAATTCACCGCGGGACCAAGAGGAAGCCGTCGTCGCGCACCGCAAGACCCTGGGTCGCCACCATGACCATCGCCACCATCACTGCCATCAGGAGGCAAGCAATCAAGAGGAATAGCATGAGCGGGCACAGCGGGGCCAGCACGCAGCGAGAACTAGATGTTGATCTCGCTCTGCTGAGCGCCTCCATGCCGGCGGCCGCCGTCCACGACCTCGCAAACTTTCGCCACCCCCCTCAAACTCTCGATCTGGGGCATCGAGCAGACCACGTGTCATCGCCGATGTGGCTGGCGCGCTATGCTGCACGATGAGCTTCGCCTCGCCCTTAGACAGGTCAGCAGCAGAGAAGATGGCGATCCGAACATTCCCACCTGCCGCGATGCAGCGGAGGACCCAGAAGAGGCCCGCCGAGCACCGCCATGCGCGCGCCTCAGCATGTGCCGAGGGAAGCCAACTGGGGGCCCAGCATGTGATCGAGCCAAATGGCAGGAGGAGGAGAAAGAGGATGAGGATGAGGAGGAGGAGGAGGAGGAGGACCAGGAGGAGGAGGAGGGGACTCTTCCCAGCACCTCAATTGGGGAGATGGGCAATGTGCTGGAAATATATACCAATGGCGGTGAGACGGCACCAGGGGCCGCGCCGAGCTCCTCCGCGCCGCGCCACGCCGCACAATGAGATGCCAGGGGGCGCGCCAGGTAGTGTATTTGCGTAGTGCGATCATCTGCGCAGCGCAGTTGCGTAGTGCACTCGCGTAGTGTAACTGCGCAGTACGTAGCGGACGGACGCAGAGTTTTCGTGTGGAGTTAGGGCGTAGTGTTTCAGCGCAGCGTTTTTGCGCAGCGTTTTCGCTCCACGCGTTACCGCGGTAGCCCCCCAAGCCCGGACAGGGATTGAAAACTGCGAGGCCAGGGGGCGTTTCCAAGCAGCTCAGTTGGGCGATGGGCAGTGGCAACACTGGAAATATCAATGGTGACGCGACTGTGCCAGGGGCTGCATTTTGCTCCCTTGCGCTGTGCCGCGTCGCGCAACGGCTGCCCGGGGGCGCACCGCGTAATGCATTTGCACAGCGCATACGCGTAGTGCATTTGCGTAATGCGTTCGCGTAGTGCACTCACGAAATGTTTTTCGCGCAGCGAGTGTACGTAAACTTTCCGCGGGGAGATCGCGCTCCGCGCTTCCGCGCTGCTATTTCGAATGTTTTTGTTCGCGTCGTGCGTTTCCGCGGCCGACCAACCAACCTGGAAAGGGACTCGGAATTGCGAGGCCTGGCGATGCTTCCAGGCACCTCAATTGGGCGATGGGCAGCGGCAAGGCTGAGGATGTCGATCGTGTTGCCACTGCGCCAAGGGCTGCGTTGTGTTTCTCTGCGCAGCGTCGCGCCGCGTGATGACATTCTGGGGGACGCGCCGTCCAGTGTGCTTTCATAAGTTTGCGCAAGTTTATTCCGATGTATTTGCGCGGTGTCCTTACGCAGTGTAATTCGCGTAGCGAATGGACGTAGTGTTTCCGCGTGGAGTTAGCGCGCAGTGGTTCCGCAGTAGCTCCGCGCAATGAGTTTGCATGATCGACCCGCGAACCCGGAAAGGGCTTCAGAACTGCGAGGTCCGGGGGCGCTTCCAAACACCTCAATTGGGCCATGGGCAATGGCCATGCTGGAGGAGCCAATGGCGATGCCACTGCGCCAGGGGCTGCGCTGCGTTCCTCCGCGCTGCGCCACGCCACGCGATGACGCGACTGGGGGCGCGCCGCGCAGCGCATTTGAGTAGTGCGTTTGCGCAATGCGTTTGCGTCGTTTTTCCGCAACATAACTACGTAGTGTCTTTCGCGAAGCGAATGGGCGCAGTGTTCCCGCGTGGAGTCGGCGCGTCGTGCTTCTGCGCATTAGTGTCGTTGCGTCGCGCGTTCGCGTCGCGCGTTTCCGCTGTCGGCCCGCGAACCCGGAAAGGGGTTCAGAACTGCGAGGTCTGGGGTACGCTTCAAACCACCTCAGTTGGGCGATGGGCAGTGCGAATGCTGGAGATATCCATGGTGATGCCACTGCGCCAGGGGCTGCGTTGCGCTCCTCTGCGCTGAGCCGCCGCACAACGACATGCCAGGTGACGCGAGAGAAGAGACAAGGTAGAGGAAAAGGACGGAGCTCGAGAGAGACTTGCACGAGGGGGTTGGGAGCAGGAGCGCAAGCGGCAGAACCAGACGGGTGGTTCGGGCGGGCGGGCCCAGACGGTCGGGTCGAGCGAGCGGGCCGCTGAAGCGTCAATCCAACATGAATCGCAAGGCATTTTCGAGCGATAGTGCGATTCCCAGGTAAATAATGAGGAATTCCACAGCGAGAGCGCGATTCCTGAGTCTCGAAGGCGCGGCGTCTCGATTAAGTGGAGGGGGCGATACCCAACGACCAACCACTCAGCCACCGCGGGCGGGGGAGGGGGCCGACAAGGAGCACCATCACCCCCCCCGCACACGAAAGGGAGGGGGGGAGGCAGAAGGAAGTGCACCACCACCACCCCTTTTCCACGCCGGGGTGAGAATAGAGTTAGGTCGGGCATGTCCCCATACAGGCGGATTATGGACGAAAAGTGTAATTTTCAGAAAAATATGCAAAAAAAGAGCGACAGGCCCGACTTAAGAATAGAAGGGGTGGGGGGGGGGGGGGGGGGCACTTCCTGGCAGGCGGAGGAAGAGCTGCCCCCCCCGCCCAAGCACTCGGACGTTTTTTTCCTCTGCCAGTTCCGCGCGGGGAGAGGGCGAGCACACGCTCCCCCCCCAGCGCCCCAGTCTGTCTCTCTTCCCCTCTCGCGCGCCAGAGGAGGAGCACTCCCCCACCCCCAGCACTCGGATATTTTCCGCTTCCCATTCGGCGCGGGGAGAGGGAGAGCCTTCCCCCCCCCAGCACTCGTCTCGGAGCTGGCCGAGCACGGAGCGGTTGCACGGCTGGTCGTCCAAGGCCTGCTTCCACCGCACCGTCTTGGCCGCGCAGTTGCACCGAGCACAGCGGGCCACCTGGCCATCGTCGTCGTAGACCCACTCGTGCTCCGTGAGGAGCAACGCCGGAGCCTGCGGCGGTGGCTGCGGCACTCCAGGAGCACCAGCAGGAGGGCCCCAATGCTGCAGCTCCGACATGCGCCTCGCCGCCCACGCGAAGAATCGCGATGCGCCCAGGGCCCGCTCGAGCCGCAGCTGCAGCCCACGAGAGAAGCAACATGGCAACTGGATCCTCTCCACGGTAAGGGCCGCGAAAGAGTCGGCCCAGGTGTCCCTGACCTGATCGATCAGTGGGACGCCGCGCTCCATGGCTTCCTCGGCGCTGAGGTGCGACGACACCCATCGGAAGTCTGGCAGCGCCCCCGTGAGCCGCTGGCCCATTGCTTGGCGGACGCCCCGCCAGATGCGGGCTCGCCTCTGCATCGGCAGGGCCCCAGCGCTTGCCCTCGCGCGCGAAGCTGAGGTGGTCGGACACGACGCATGTGACCGAAGGCCCGTCGCGCAGCACCGACAAGCCAGCGTACCGCTCCGCCCGCGCCACCGCATCGCGCTCGCAGCGGCCATCCCGACGGTGAGATCATCACCGCCGCCCATGCGCACTGCGTGACCTCCGGCGCGTCGGCGGCGCAGGCGGAACCGTCAGGGTAAACCGTGCCCTGCCAGGGAAGATCGGTGAGACCCCACTCGAAAACCTCCTCGCGCCCCACCGGCGGCATGGCCTCTGGCGGCGGCACAGGGGGGATGCCGTGGAAGAGCTCGACGGCGCTCCAGCAGGGGCCTCCTGGCGCACGCTCACCCGCCTCAGCGAGGCGCTGCCGAGTCGCCGCCAGGCTCTCGGTTAGCGGTGGCTCCTCCTCGTCCTCGGCCTGGCTGGCGAGGCCAGGGCACCCGTGCCGGCGGTGCGCGAATGACTCGACGGGGGCCTGGCAACAGAGGCACTCCGAGCTAAAAGCTAGCCCCTGGCGGTGGCGGCGCTCGCGCAGCCAGGAACCGCCGGCCTACAGTCAGGTCGGGCATGTCCTCCTACAGGCGGATTTTGGGCGAAAATTGCAGAATACTAAAAATGATCAAAAACAGTTTTTTGAAATAGTTATCGAAAAATCGTCCCCTGACTATGTTTTGACAATTTGGGAATATTCCTCCTGTAGAGGGACACGCCCGACTTAAGCCTAGAGTCCGATCAAGGCGCCGCGCGAGGCAGGCGAGCCCGGTGCATGCTTGCCGCGGCACGGGCCGCTCGTGGTCCGACCTGCTCGCCAGCGTGTTCGGGGAGGGGCGCTCGAAGCTGTTTCTCTCCCCTCCCCCGCGCGGAGAGAGGAGCAGCACCCACACACACACACACACACACCCTGACATTCCAGTCTCTCTTTTCCAAGAAGCACCCCCCCCGGGACTCTGATTTGTTCCTCGTCCCCTCCCGCGCGCGCGGGGAGAGGGAGAGCACACCCACACACACACACACACAAACACGGCCACACACGCACACCCTGGCACTCCAGTCTCTCTCTCTCTCTCTCTCTCTTTTCGTCTCTCGCGCGCCGGAGGAGAAGCACTCCCCCCCTCCCCAGGAAAGGTTTTGTTCCTTATCCCTGCCCGCGCGGGGAGAGGGGGAGCACCCATCTCCCCCTCCCCCCGGCACTCAAGTCTCTCTCTCTCTCTCTTCCCCTCGCGAGCGCCGGAGAAGGCGCACCCCGCCTCCCCCCCTTCCAGGACTCGGCGCAGAGGGAGGAGGGGGGAGGTGCACCTCCTTCTCCGCCTCCCCCCCTCCCGATCGTGTGCGGGGGGGGGGGCCCTGGTGCCCCTCCTCGTCGGCCCCCTCCCCCGCCCGCGGTGGCTGAGTGGCTGGTCGTCGGGTATCGCTCCTTCCAGGGGCGGGGTGCACCTCCTGGCAGGCGGAGGAAGAGCACCAGCCCCCCCCCACCAGCACTCGGATTCGTTCCTCTTCCCATTCCGCGCTGGGAGGAGGGAGAGCCCCAGACACACACACACACACACACACACACACACACTCCAGTGTCTCTCTCTTCCCCCCTCGCGCGCTGGAGGACGAGCACCCCCGCTCCCCAACACTCGGATTCGTTGCCCTTCCCATTCGGCGCGGGGAGTGGGAGAGCACCCCACTCCCCCCCCCCCCCCGCGCTCCAGACTATCTCTTTCCCTCTCGCGCGACCGAAGGAGGAGGAGCACCCCCCCCAGGACTCGGCACGGAAAAAGGGTGGGGGGTGCACCTCCTTCCGTCTCACCCCCCTTCCGTGTGCGGGGGGGAGAGGTGCTCCTCCTTGTCAGCCACCCCCCGCGGAGGCTGATTGGTTGGTCGTTGGGTATCGCTCCCTCCGAGGAGCGGGGAGGCGCACCTCCTGGCAGGCGAAGGAAGAGCACCCCCCCACCCCCAGCACTCTGATTTCTTTCCTCTTCCCGTTCCGCGCGAGGAGGCGAAGAGCACCCCATCCCTCCCCACACTGGCACCCCAGTCTCTCTCTTCCCCTCTCGCGCTCTGGAGGAGAAGCACCCCCCCCTCCCACATGCCCTGCCCCTCGGCCGCCCAGGGTTGGAGGCAGCGGCAGGGGCACGGACCACACGTCCAGCACCAATCCAGGGGCCCACCGCCCTCCCACGGTTACAGGAGGGCCGAGGTGAAGGCCGCCCACGTCCCCCATCCACGGCTCCCACCGCGGCCTTGGGAGGCCGTCTCGGGCGGCCCGAGGAGGGGCCCCATCGCACGTGCTGCCAGCCCGCGCCCCCCCCCCGTGGCACGGCAGCGCTGCCTGCCGGATGCCCTCCGCGAGCGCGAGCACGCGGGACTTGTCCACGTCCGCGGCGGCCTGGTGCGAGTCGGCCTGGGCCTGCAGCACCTCGCGGCCGCCGGGTAGAGGAAGACGCCACCTACACCAGGAAGCCGCCGGAACACACACACACACACACACACACACACACACACGGCTGGCTTCTCGCGCGGAACATCCAGAGGCCACTTGCTGGATACACATGCGGAAGCCTGCCTGCACGGCCATATTAGGGCCGAGCGCCAGAAAGGCACCTGGCCACATGCAGATCCAGCTCTCGCCCAGGCCGACCGTGCTGTGTGCATCCATCTTCCCATTTACGGCCAGGAGCTTTTGCTTAGCGTGTCGCGGCGGCGGCCCCGGCGGCACGCTGTGCCTTGCAAGCCGAAAGCGTGTCGCTCCGCTCCGCGGGGCGGGAGGTCTCGAAAGGCTCGGGACGCTGACGCCTGAGAACCGCGAAATGGACAGCGTGTCGCGGCGAATCGCGGTTGGTAAGAACCAGCGGCGTGACACGCTTTCCAAATGTTACCTCCGCCTCGTCCTCCTCCTCCTCCTCCTCCTCC